TTCTGATTCTGCTCTTTTTTTAAATTAAAATGAGTCTGCTGCAGTGCCTCATTACCTAACCGTTCTACAATTTAAATGCTGTTCTACCTTAGTCCCACTTGACCCTCATAACATTCCACTGAATCAAGATATCAGCATATAATTTACCACCATATGCAGATACACCATATGCAACATTTAATGCGTATTTCTTATCAGTGATGGCTGAGCATATGCGTGTTTTTGTTTTCTGTGAATACACCCTCTTAATTTATTCTCCTTGCTCCCCCTCCACAATTGAACAATAAAGAACAGAGACTGTATCTTTGACTTGCACAATGAAGTGGCTCGTAACTGTTGGCTTATTGAATCCTGATATCCAACAACTTTAGTCTGTGTAATTCCCCATTAATAAATGATTACAAATCTATGAAGGCCCAAAGGGAAATATTATGTTACTCACTGGCAATAAAATTACTGCATTTCCATAATCTAAGATCTATATTTTCACATTATAACATTTCTAATCAGGATATATTTTATACTTGCTATAATTGGTATAGTAGTGCTCCTTTTTTTTTCCTGAAGAGTACTTATTAAATGGTGGACTTTGTAATCTAACAGGGTCTTTGACATAAGGAAATATGTATATAACTAATTTAACATTCATGAGAATAAAGCCACGTTTTTATCTAATCCATACCTACATCACACAACTTGTACTTTCCACCCTTAAGTAGTAATTTCAAAAGATCATAAGGTTATCTGAATGTACTTATTTCAAATATAAAAAGATTAAATAAATTCTGTATTTAATTGTATATCATTTTTTATTCATTCCTCAAAATAGTCATCATATCCTATTTATCATCACGGCAGACAATTTTTAATAGGAGAACTCCGCATAAAACAACAAACAACAATGCATAATTGCATAAAATGGTTGGATTCCAAAATTAAATCTCTTTTCATAGATGCTGTGCTATGACCTACAAATCAGGCTTATGACAGTTAATCTAAAGCTTAGGGAGGGGCTTGCATGATGTCAAAAAGCTTAAGGAGGAGTGTCTAGTACACATAAGGAGAAAATGAAAGGTGGAAGCAGGTATTGGCACAGTTTCCTGAGCCCCACCAACTCTAGCAGTACAAATACTTGGGCAGTCATGGCTCTGAGTTTTTCAAGCACTGTAGGCTGTACCCCACGCAGTCTTATTCCTGGGTTTCTGCATCTCTCCCTTCCTTCCTTCCTACTCTTCTTAGAATCAATAGCTGTTGCTCACTGAAGTTATCACAAAGGAAAAAAACAAAGTACATAGCAGGCCCTGGAGATAAGCAAACAAAGGACTTCCTTGGGACTAACAACAGCCACCACTCTACCTCCCCATCCCTACCTCTCCCCTGCGCACTACTCTCAGTACAGAATAGAATTTTAGTGTTCAATGTACCCAAGGTAGTTTTGCTTGCAGGCTCTGGAATGAAGAGTAGCAAAAACATGGGCTTCAAGGACAGTAAAATTAACCAAAGGACAAGCAAAAATAGGGGTTGGGGTCTCTGGGATAAGAAATAATGGTCTCCGAATGTTCGAAAATACCCATTGAAGTATAATAAAGAGACAGATATGGTAGCAGCTAGAAAAATTCATCTCTACTCAGTCTGCCTTTCATATTTCTTCAAGGCAGGTAATATATAACTGACTGCATTATTAATTCATATTTATTGAATTACCATTTATCTATAGTTAAGAGGGAGGCGGATCATAAAACTGGTGAAAAGTAATTCTGATACTCTATTTAGAAGAGGCCCAAGAAATTTCAAGTCTCCGAATGTTCGAAAATACCCATTGAAGTATAATAAAGAGACAGATATGGTAGCAGCTAGAAAAATTCATCTCTACTCAGTCTGCCTTTCATATTTCTTCAAGGCAGGTAATATATAACTGACTGCATTATTAATTCATATTTATTGAATTACCATTTATCTATAGTTAAGAGGGAAAAAAAAAAAAAAAGTTTAAACACCAGCCACGTTGAAAAGGCTCCAGAAAGGACAATATGAAGTCTCTTTCCACCCCATTCAGTCTTTCTACAGTACTCATGTATTGAAACTGCTAGACTTGGATGTTAATTGAATTAAACAACTTACAATCCTACTTACCTTGGTTAAATGATCCTGAGGAGTGGGTGCTGGACTGAATTCACAATTTGAAAGGGCATCCCCTTTCCTTCTTACATCTAGAATCAATTGTGCTATGTACTTTTCCTGGAATCGTGTCCTCTTTCCCAAAGCACCTAAAAATATATATATGTACCTATTGTCAACCAGATTTATTGTACAATCATAAAAAGTAATATCTTCAGAGTGCTTTAGAGTTTATAAGCTGTTTTCCCCATTTCACATAAGAGAAACCTAAGGCCAAGTGATGTTAAAATAACTTATAAAATTATAAAGCCAATAAGCCATGGTGCCAGGACTCAAACCAAGAATTTCTGCCACTAGATTCCACTTACTCATTTTCACGTCAAACTACCTACCTCCTCAAAAAACACTATCTCATTAGGTGTTACAAGTAGAAGAACTATTATTATCTCTATACTATAGATGAGAAAATGGAGCTTCAGAGGTGCAGTTATTTGTTCAAAATCACAGCATTTCTCAGTATCAGAGCCAGAGCTTAAAGCCAGCATCTTCCAGGTTCTAACTCCCACATTCTATTTCATTATCTGGCTTCATGTAACATAAAAATTTTTTCATATGTCTCTGAAATAACTTGCTGCAGAATAGCTGTTTTCAAACCACTTTAAGAGAAGCCAAAGTTTTAACATCCATTCTCAGGAAAGGGTCAGATTATAAAGAGCCGCAGTTACAAAAACCAGTGTATGAAGTCTGGATTTTACCCTCTGATGAATGTGGCTGTAAGTTACGCATCAACCTTTTAAACATGTTATGCTAAAGAGAGCCACTAAAATGGTTTATATTAAGGCTACAGCTGAGTCAAAAAAAATAATAACCTGATTCTCACTTTGTGAGCACCATATTTGTATTTTTAAGCTTTTCATCCCTAACTTGGAAAAAAATATGAATTAGGAATTAAATATACCAACAGTTAAAACTGAATATGCAGAGTATTGTGCCATTAATTTTTTAAATAGTTCCAAAAGTCTTCTAGGACCAAAATACTTAAAAACATAATCTCTGAAACTAACCTCACAAGTTATATTACATATAACTATATTTTCAGATACAGACAAGACTCCAACTTAGACATGGCCATTGATCCAAAAGTTATAAGCTAGATACTGAATAATTTTCCCCACATAAACAATGTAATAAAAGGTGGCTAAGATCTCAGACCAGCCCACAAAGTCATATTTAACTCAAAATATAACTAAAGGATTTTACTGATAGGACTAGCTCAATAAGAAGCACAGAATTTGGGGGCTAAAAATAGACCTTAGAGATAATCTTGATCTAGCCTAGGGAGGACAAAAAAGGTTCAGTCATTTCAACATTCACAGATAGGTACTCATATCCTGTAAGCTCAGCCCACGTTAAACAGATACAAATGGTATCGTCAACTGATGATGTCTGACTTTCATTAATTCATTCAACACTGAATGTCAATTATATTGTGAGACATTAGGGAAAGAGCAATACATAAAAAGAAAATATTTCTAATTTGGTATTCATTTTAGGAGAAATTCTGTTATTCATTCAGTCACTCAACAAATATTTATTGAGTGCCTATTTATAGGCCAAACAGTATTCTAAGGCATTGAAGAAACATTAAGTAAACAAAATGGTCAGAAATTTCTGTTCATAAGGAATACAAAATGAAACACAAAAAAAGGAGGATGGAAGCAATAGGTGGGTATTTATTTTTTTAAAAAAGGTGGGTGTGGCAATGCAGAGAGGCCAAATAAACTTGGGAGTCAGGAGAGGCCTTCGGAGGCCCACACCCAAAACCAAATAGTCAAAAGTTCCTTTGTGTGCTGCCTTGCTGCTACCTGTTTGTAACATGTGTCTAACTAGATTAAAATAATAAATAGAAATTTCTAGGAATAAAGAAAATATATAATTGCAAATTTGTTCCAAAACTATGAATTTTTAAATAAAATCTTTAATATCTATTTTTGCAAAGCAAAGGATACAGAAAGTCAAATAATAGCATACAATACAAATTGCCAATGTATACATTAGTTTTATCATAAAAATAAAACAAATTATCCACGAAAGGTAAAAAGTCTTACCTGTCAAATCAATTTGTAATTTGCTGATGTCTTTGGCAATACTGAACTGATCTTTTGCCTTTTTATACTCATAATAATACAAAAATACATATGCACATTCCAGATGGAATTGAATAGCCAAAAATTGACCTGAATCACCTTCAAACAGATTTTCTAGTTTCATCACTGCAAGACAAAAGAGTAAACATTAAAAACTATGATGAGAATAAAAATATACTAATGAGTAAAATGTTGAGTCCATAACATGTAAAGTATATACATATATATTACAAAGTCTCTGCTCTTCAAGAATTTTAAATATAGAAAGTGAGGAACACAAATATATCAATAATTAACAGCTAGCATTCACTGAGTACTTGAGATATGATTCATAACCTTGCTCTTAAAGTTTTTGTCTTAATCATGCATGGCAACAAGTGTCCACCATCCTCCTTTTCGTCCTAAGTGCCTGAGTGCTATGCAGCAGCTGCCATCAACACTTGGAAGCATTGCTCTGATTATGCACAGACAGGTGAGGTTAATGTAGCTACTGTAATGACATAACTTAATGGACTTTAGAGTTTATTTATATGGCCAGATTTATTTTAAAAACATTACAAATTACTTTAGTCTAGTATAGAACCACTGGGGGTCTGAAAAGGGTTACCTAAAATCTTATCATACCTTAGTAAACTTTGTAGAAAAGCTATATGTTGTAGTATCATTTGCAAATTTGGGGATTCAGAATGGCCCAGAGATCTTTAGGAATGTCAGAGATCTACAGCAGTTTCTAACAGTTTCTTTTTTTTACTGTTAATTGGGAAACTTTTACATGACGGATACATAATATGTAATATCTGCATGTATTCTTCATTAAAAAAAAAAACTTTCACAATTTTGCATGAAGTTGGCAAACAAGTAAGAAAATGGCCATCAACCGAGGAATCGTCAATAATGTTAACAATACATTTTTGAAAATATATCATTTTCAAAATAAGATGTTGTGATACAAAGTACCAAATGAATCTATAAGTGTTAAACAATACAGAAAATCTGATGAAGAGAACAGCTTATATTCTTCTTAATTACAGAAAATAGAATTACTCCCTTAAAAGAAAAGAGGAAACACATAAACATCCATATCTAAGACAATATGAGTATCACAGAGAGAATCGATATTTGCTTAGCAGTCAGATTATAATTTATTTCTCTAAATACCTGAGATGAAAAGATGGGAGGATAATAACCTAGTAATGTAGCATCTAAAATAAAAGGATTGGCAGAATTAATCATATAATAAAGGGTCTAGTTGATTGACACCTACCAAGTTACAAGGGTGTCTAACAGGTCAACTCATCCAACCAATCCCCCAAAACAGAGTTCCCTTCTACAATATCCCTCATATGTTTCCAGTAATGGGTTAGTCAGCATTTCACAAAGTAGTCCACAAGAATGAATGCATAATAAATGAATGGAAAATGCACTTCCGATGTCCAAAGATTGATGATCATTTTTCCACCATTCAAGCTGAAAGAGAAGTTATATTTACTGAATGCCTACTCTGTCTAGCACGGGTATTTTACATGTGTTATTTAATTCTCACAATGATATCTTTAAGGCTGATATTATTTCATTTAATTCATCAGAAAATTGAGTTCAGACAGCTTACTGACTAGTCTACCTTAGTTGTTAAGTGTCGAGCCAGGATTTGAATCCAAGCTTAGAGGGGAAACAGGGAGAGAAGTCGGCAGGGAAGGATAAAGGTGTAGAGGTGATGCTATGAAAGCCCAATCTACTTTGTCACCTGGTGATCTGGCAGAAAAACCCATAGCTAAGAAAGATA